ACATTAATATATTCTCAAAAGACATGAGCTTTCACAGTAGTGTATATAATATTTTCTAACATTGAAATTTGTTATTGAAAGTAGCTTTAAGGAACTAATTACACTTTGTGTAACGAATTGTATAGGCTAAACATTCATAGAAAATATTATACTGCCGACATTAGTTGTTCTTTGCTCTCTTTACTTAGTCATAACAAACTTGCCGAAGTCCACTTACTAGAACAGACCGCGATATAACTGCTGAGTTTTTAAATTTCATAAACACCTTCTGGAATAGCATCCAAAGAATAAAAAAATGAGATTTAAAATGAAATGTACCATATTATTAGTTATTGTGCTTTTTTTTGTACAAAATTTTCCAATAAGCGAGGTGCATGAATCAAAGTTTTTGGCTTGTATTCACACTCATGTTGCACGAGAACTGTATGGATTGTTTCATTTAAAGTTATTTTTCAAACAGATGCTGAAGATTAAAAAATCGGTTCATTCTTTGTCAATTGGGATGCAAAGATATACGGTAAGATAAATGTTTTTAAATAATTCTATTGTTTATATTGAAACAATAAAATAAAATTTTCAGTTTTAGAGAACTAAAGAAAAGGGTTTAAAATGTTGAGTACTTTGTGGAAGATATAAGACAAACTGTTCTGGCTAATTCTAATGTAATTAATTGATTTTGATGTAGCAAATATCTTTTAGAAAATTTAGTTTTGTTCTGTTGATTATAACGGGATCGATCTAAAAATATATTTAAAAGATTGCCCTTCTTGCTAAAAAAATTTAAGAAATACTTGTTGCTGTAAATAAAAATTAATGATAAATGGCTGTCATAGTCGCGAAATTTAACACATAGAAGTTTCTTGAGTTAACTGACGAGGCGTAATAAATAAAGTAAAGATAAATTATGAAGTATTATTACATCTTGTTAATTTTAAAATTATGCATTGATTGTCAAGATATCACGAGATTGTTAGGGAAAAAAAAAAGTGTCTGACAGCCAAACTATTGGCATATTTAAATTAGATGGAATATAAATTTCTGCTGAAGCTCAAATACACTTTTTGTTGGGAGTGGATAATTTAACTGATGAAAGGTTCTGTGGATATTAAAGAGTGATTTCATTGATTAATCTATTATAATGATGCTCGCAACACTATATTATAATGATGCTCGCGACACGATATGCTTTAGAAGCGATGCTTTCGTGGAGGATGTTCTGGTAGAACTGTCTTGATATTCAAGGTACTGAAGACTAAATGCAGTCAATCCGATCACTACAATAAACTGTTTGAACAAGTTGCCTATGCTACCTCTCAGCCACTTCTGAACGTGAACATTAATGGAAAGCCCAGAAATGTAGAAATTATTATGTTAAAAAAATTTCCGTTATCAAAAATATCTCTTTAAGTGCTTCAAATGAAAGTCGCAATTTTACTTAACATATCAAATAGGATTATTTGTGGAACTGCGTTAAAGGTTAAAAAAAATGAAAGAACTATAAAATTCATTGCACATAAGAGAATTTCAACAAATGACGGAAAATTGTTCGTATAATTTTAGAAATGTGAAATGGTTTCAGTATAAAAAACCTTACTCAGGTTTCATTAATACTGCAATATACAGAGGATCAGCAATTTAAATTAAGAATTGTAATGGATTTTGATGCATTAATAACATAAGTGTGGTAAAACAACATTGCAAACTTTACATAACCAAACCATAGCTCGTATTAAAGTATACAATATTTTTCATTTCGTAACAACTCGAACTTCACAATTTTATACAGAGCCAGCGTTGATTAGTAGCACAGTTAAATTCTTATTTCTTATGACTATATTTTTGTTTTCAAAGTAAGTATCGTGAATAATTTTTTAAAGTATGACAATCTGTTGTCCTCCATTCACCGAGACCATTAACCGTAAAGACAAATTTGACTGCGGTTGAAATGAACTGTTTCTGAAAGTATGTTTTTCTCACTAAAAATATCAAGTTGGCAAATATAACTTTGTTTGGTGCATCTTCTCTTACAACGGAAAAGAACCAAAATCTGCGGAGAAGGAAAATGGAATGCTATAATTAGCTAAATAAAGTGTTTATGTGTTTCAAAATGGAATCTTATTCATAATCAAACAGAAATACCAAATGCTACGCCGAAAGAAGTTTATGGCACAATATTTTTTGTAATGCATTTTTGAAAAATGTAAAACTTCAACTTTAGAGATGAGTATATCATAAGGATTTGAAGAGAAACGAAAGCGAAAAGTTAATAAATCAGATTGTGAGGAATCAATTGATACAAATTGTAGTTTTTCAGAAACAGATATTTTTATAGAAATTAAAGAAGTGTTCGACGTTTTAATTTCACAATTGAAATGGCGATATGAAAAGTTAAATGAAATCTCTTCCGGTTTTCAGTTTCTAACTGGTGAACAATTAATGTCATTACATTTAAGTAATTTAAAGGCAGCAGCTTATAACTTAGCACTTAAATATCTGAATGATATGAATGCTGAAGGAATTCAGTCAGAAATATCTAGTTTTAAAAAACCATGCTATTTAAATAATTCCGGACACAAAAGCAACTACAAGCTTAGAACTTTTAAAAATAATTCATGATTATAATTTAATACAGTCCTATCCCAATTTGGAAGCAGCATAAGAATTTTTTTAACATTGCTAGTTACTGTAGCTAGTGGCAAAAGAAGCTTCAGCAAACTTAAAATAGTAAAGAATTATATGAGATCTTCAGTAGGCCAAGAAAAACTTTCAAACATGGCCATTCTGTTTATAGAACATGAGTTAAGTAATCAAATAGATTTTTAAAAAATTATTGACGATTTTGATTCTTTAAAAGCAAGAAAAATTAAATTATAAATATTCTTGAAAAGTTTATGCAATAATTTTTTGAGCATATGTTTTATTTATACTACTTAATATTACCTGCCATTTTTCAAAAAGCATATTTTTAATGTTTTCCATTTTTAAATCGTTAATCATTATATATGTTTCACTTTGTGGAATATAAAAAGTTATAATTAAATATTACTGTAAGCGTTATTGTATTTTCACTTGAAAGAGTTATTTTTAATGAGCGTAAAATATATATCAATATAGTTAATTTGTTCTCTATATGTATGATTATAGGTATATATATATATATATATACATTACGTGTTTGTATAATGCTATGTTTCCAAACATCATTTAGTATTATTTATTTATTCTCCCTCCCCACAAATAGGTAAATAAATAATCTTGCATTGTATACAGGGAGCACACATTTACCGCTTTGAAAAAATATGTAGGCATGCCTCTGGAGGACAGTTATCTTACATTAATTTTTCTATGTTTCCCATATTATTACATATATATGTAATACAGCTTCTCATAATTCGTAATAAATATGTTTGAGTTTGAGAAAAAGTAGTGTTCAGTACTAAACAGTAGGTGTTCCACAACCTCAACAATTGTAATAATCATCACAGCCTGGCACTGTTTACCACAGGTGCTAGCTCCCAGAAGCTTCAGAATTAGATTTATCAGAGATATTAATTTCACTTTCTTAGACTGAATTTCCAAAATTCTTTAGAGTTTTCTTTTTTCCTGTGAATATTCATTTCATTCAAACATAATTTGTAGATCTTCTGTGCAACTTTGTCTTCTAAAATAGTCCTCTAAACATGACACATCCACAGGTTCGTTTGATCACAGCATTCTTTTAAACAAACTATACATACTTTATTTAATGGCATTATTAAATCTTTTTTTTTCAACTAGTACCTGATTATTATGTTCTGAGATAAGAAATGGTGAACACTGATGTTCTGAGAATCTGACATAAAAAATGATTCAGCTATAGTAATATTTATATAGAGAGATTAAGTTCAGAAAATCCTCATTAATTACAAAAATATTGCATGCAAATGATTGAAAAATTATATCAGCTATTTTACACAGGATGCTTGTCATTACTCTATGAAACAAGTGGAATTAGATCTTATTACACATTTTAACTAACTAGATCAGTTATTTTCTAGGTATTCTATGAAAAAAATGGGTTTCTAACTTTAAGAGCAACACATATATTTTATGTTCACAGAAGTCCTTATGCTGCCATTTTTTTCACAGCTACCGAGTCTAGATGTATACACTTTCAATTATCAAAATGTTTTAAATGATACAAATTATTCATATTTTGGTATATATTAATTAAAAAGAATAACTGTGTGAAAATTACCAAATCTAACTGTTTATGCAGTTGTCTGATCCTTATAGTTATATATAGAAAAAAATTTAAGACTTGCTATAAAAATAAAACAAAAAAGTTTAACTCCCATATGGAAACATTTAATTTTTTCATGATGCATGAGTTAAAAAAAAATTAAGATAGGATAATTTGAGGTTAATTTTTTCCCCTTAAACTTTCATTCACTGATATTCTTTAGTGATTTACTTAGTGTTTAACACTCTTTAATTTGCAATTTTGTTACAAAATTACAATCTATTAAAATGATTTATTTTTATAATTTGCAAAATATAAAAATTATGAAAAACAATTTTCCCTTAAATAAATTAAAAGTTTTCACGTTAAGAATAAACCATTAACATTTCACACATCGAGCAACAACTAATTATCATGTGTTTAATTTCTCAAGAAAGCTTCAAGTAGCAAGAAGTTATGCACTGACAATTATAGAGACAAAGCATGAGTAATTATGTAGTCAATCAAAAAGTTTTTTTTTTTTTTTTCAATGGAATCCAGACATTAGTGAAATGCTCACAAGTCATTAAGTCAAATGTCATCAAAAAGTGATTAAATTCAAATAACAGTAACAATAAAAAGCAACTTAAACTTAAGATTACTTTTAACTCTGCTTTACATTTCCTTATATTCAATGACACTTTCGCTAGAATTAAGGTTAAAAAAAGATTCAAGACATAATATATACAGTTTTTCGTTATAAAATAAATGCATTTTAGCAAAAATAAAATATTCTTACTTTTATTTCATTCTTTTGGGCAGAATGTGGAACAATAATCTGACTTTCTAACTCTGTAGTTAAAATATTGCCTCTATTTCCAAGCGTAAAGACAGTAGAACGGTTTTTTAAGGACGGTTTTCCAGAAAAAATACTTAAAGTTCATTAAAGAATGATTCATGATGTATTATCAAAATTTTATGTAGAAGAAAACATGGTGTTACTTCAGAAGATCAATAGTTAATTCCAGTAAATCTTTAATGCAAATACACAATGAAAATACCTAAAAATAAAATGCCAGTAAAAGTGTAATGGAATATGTAGTCCATAAAATGGTTTCACTATATACATGCAATTCAAACAGAATAAACTTAAAATGACTATACTGAAAACATATTTATATGCCATGATTTGATTCCTTTAAAATACTTTGGATCAGAGATAGGTTAAGATCATGGTCTATTGGTTAATAATGATGTGCTTAAGAATTGATCGCAGAATGTTTTCTACCCACTTATTACATTATTATTTTACATTTTCCCTGCACAGCAACAGATCATGGCATCACTCATATTGTAAAACTTAGCTCAAGCTTGCAAAAGAGGTTCAGCAGACCTGTATTAGCTAAACTATGTTACATTTATATTATGCTACAGAAAAGTGAAAAATTCATTTAATGCACAACTAAATTTTAAAAAACGATTTTTTTAAAGGATATTTCTTTTAGCAGTATCTTCAACTCCCATTAAATCATCTCTGTCAGCTACTTCTTCAAACTAAAGATGTAAATATATGTTACACAACTTAAAGTTTTCACACACATATTTTATAACTTTAGTTGATGGTTTAAAAAAAAAGGAACTTATTGCAAATTAGATGTTATAAAATGCTTACTTGAAGTTTCATTAATCGACTAGTATACATTTTAAAGTATGAAAACAAAATTTTGCTCATTGTATCTAGGTATTCCTCACGAACTTCACGGGCTATATCTCTTTCATGAGTCATCAAAAACTGATAATAAAATTTGTACTTTAGCAGAGCGTTTTGGGGAACTTGATAATTTGTCATCGGTTTACGAAAAGAATAAATTTTTTGAAGTAAGTACTCTCGAATTTTTGAAATTGCCTGAAAAAAAAAATAATCACATTAAAATCTAAAATTATAAATATCCTTTTTAATAATTTCAATAAAAGATATAACATTGATCTTTTTAGCCACACATTTAATTTAATCAAATCAAAAGAAAATTAATATTTAATTAATTGCATAAAAATAGGCTATACATTGAAATATAATAGTAATATTTTCAATTAGACAATACACTGAAATATAATAGCAATACTTCAATTTTTACAATAATATTTTCAAGTAAGTGAAATAATTGCACAAAAATAGGCAATACATTGAAAATAACAAAAAAGATGATAAAAGTATCAAATAAAAAATAAACTGAACATTAGGGATGACAAAAATTATGCTAGAAAATTTTAGCAATGACTGCAAGTGTAAACAATGAATATGCTCAATCAGTAAACAAAAAAACTCAATTACTTGAAGCATCTGATTTTCCGGCTGCCTTTGAAAATGCATTTAAATTATGTAACAAATTATAATATACGCAATATTTGAACTATTCAGAACCAAATAACATAAAAATTGTATATTAAACAAGCGATTAACGGATTTTAGATAGCAACTGTTAATCACCAATATCTGTCTAGTTAAAGACAGTTAACTATACCCACAGAAAATAAGGAAAATATAATTACGAAAGAAGACTACATTAAATGAATTCCAAGTTGGTGAAATATCTCTAACATATAAAAATGATATAACTGTTCCATGAATTAGAAAGAGGAGATGAAAGAAATAGCAAGTGCAAACATTCTGTAAATTTTTCACAACACTCAGATATTTTAACTCTATATCTAGAGATGATTAACATTCAGCTACTTCAATCAAGAGGAAAAAATCCATCATTTCCAGTGAACTCGCATCACCGTGTTCAATGAAACAGGAATCAATGAAAAGATCTGGAGTAATAACTTACATTTATAGGATGGCCAACATGTGGAATCAAAATCAAAACTGCTTTCAGTTCATTTTTCATTAAACCACCTCAAAGCTAAATAGAATAATGTGAATAATAAAATATATATCATGATTCATTGGGATTATACAATACTACTCCAGTAAAAAGTAGAAGAAAAGCAGAGAAATGGCAGATATTCAATCTATTCCTCAAATTCTTGCATACATTATAAATTTTACATAAAACAGAAATCTGAAACATTATTTTAGAATAATTAACAGATTTCAAACATTTCTGAAATACTTTCCAAATTTTGCAACATCAGAGTAAGAATCGATTACCTTTATTTTTAATTTTTCTAAGACATCTTTTACATCCTGGCAACATCTTGCATCTTTGAATGACTGCTCTTTCACGAAAGCAATTTTGTGATCTAGAATTTGAAGATCTTCAAGGAATTCTTTTTCTGTTACTGGAGTTTCTAATATATGTCTATAAAAATGTGATAAAATTCAACTGTGAATTATTTTGAATTATATTTAACTGTGAACAGAAGGGGCAAAGCAAAGCATTTAAAAACAGAGAATATTAAGTGAGCTAATCTAATACAAAAGTTATATTTCAATAAAGTTTCATAAATTAGCACATTTTTAACTTTTCTTTTCTCATGGCTTTGACTTAAAACTAGGGGAAACAAAAAACCTGGAAACCGCAATAAGAAAACATTTTTTAATTTCAGGACAAAATCATCAGAAACCCATTAATGGAGGAAGAACATGGCTCATATTTACTTTGTTTCTTTTTGTGAACAAGCTTTCATTAGTTTCGAAATTTAGGTACAAAATTAGGTATTAGTTTTGAAAATTTATGTAAATTTAGGTTCGAAAATTTAGGTACAGATTAACATTACAATAATGAGGTAACAAGAAATTGGCACATACTTTTCCAACATAATTATTCCTACTAATTATGCTATGATTCAATTGAAGCAAGATTTGATTTACAAAACTCAACAGACATTAAATCTTCAACCATAATGGATTTAATAAATGAACCATACAATGATAATAGAAGCAATTAATGATCCAACCAAAAACCACATGTAATTAGATACCTTTCAATATCATACATATTTTATAGCCAGTAGAATTCTCTTTTGGCATTCTTTTATTGAATGCAATCTGATTAAAAAGCTTAGTTTAAGTCACATTATAATTTTATGAGGTGGTTACTTTAATAGAATTTTTCTTGAATATCTCTTTCTTGAAGGAAAAGGATAACAGCTGTTAGTTTCTCGGCTGATCCCAAATCAGAAATTCCGCTGCAGTAAAATACACTGATCAGATGAAAAACTTGGTTGTCCAAATGATAGTTAGAAAGAAGTATCACAAGGAAAGAAGTTGAACCAAACTGGCCTCACTTAATATTGACAATAAAAATCAAAACAAAAAAATTTGTGATGTGGTTTTAAAAAATATGGAGATAATTAGTTTTGTAATTTTAATTACTTTTTTTATTACATTCAAAATTATAAAATTTATCAAATACCGATACATTAGGAAAAAATTTCTCTTTTAAACACCAAATTCTAAAGTAGTTATATTTGTAGTTAGAAAAGGCAACTCAGTTTAAAATAAATATATATCAAATTTTAAATTAAAATCTTTTTTCAAATTAAAATTGTCACTACTCGAAAGCTCAACATACTATATACATATTTGATTTGGCATTTCAAAAATTTTCATCCACATTTTAATAGAGGCATTCTTAAATGTGATTCAAAAATAATGAAAAAAACCTGTTATTTATTGCTAGTACTAATGTTACGGATTTTGTATTTAAATAGCTAATATTAGTAGAATTATAAATTAAATTGTTTTATTCCTCGTGCAGTGCAGCACGTGACGAATATTAAGAGAATCGGAAAATTAAAAATACAAGAGCACGTGCATTTGACATTTAATAAATAAATATCTCTTTTTGATTTCAAGAAATTGCTAGAACAATCTCATGCATTAAAAAAAAAAAAAAAAAAAAAAAAAAAAAAAAACTTCACAAGGGGATCGAAACCGCTTAATTCGAAGTTTTTAGAAAACTGCTGATGTTTACTGTAGTGAATTTGCAGTGAAATCGGATTAGCTATGTTTTGAATTCAGTTCTGTTGAATGTTCGAGTAACTAAAAAGATAACTACTGTCAGATATCAAAATATTGTACGGATATCTGTGGAAATTTAAGCATTTTGTTTTATTTGTTGTGATAATAATAAATTTTATTCATTTTTCATCGGAATTGTGCATTCAATTCATAACGAACCCCTACGCATGCAACAGTAATATATTTATCTCCGCTTACAAAATTTTTAAAAATCTGTTTGTTAGTTAAAGAATTTTCATTTCTGAAATACACTCATGTCCATAAATTAAGGATAATGCAAAATCAGGCAAAGGAAGAGTTAGAAGCAAAATAAATTTGACTTACTTGTAAAGCTTATTTATTAAACAAAAGGTAAAGAGCAAAAAAAAGATGCTATATGTTTGATATTATTAAAAAAAAATAGCTATTTTTTCTCCCTGGAGGAAATTACAAAAAAAAAACCTATTTACAAAAAACAATATTACATGGTTGGTATGATAGTTAATATATTGTATGTCTCCCAGACGATGCAATACAGTCCGTACAGAGCCTAGGCATGCTGAGTATCAAATTATCGATCTGATCTTGGGGGATATTACACCACTCAAAAAGCAATGCTCTCCGAAGTTCCGGTAGACATGTAGGAGGAAGATGACGGGCTGCAACTCGTCGGCCAAGCATATCCCACACGTGCTCTACTGGATTCAAGTCCGGTGAGAATGCTGGCCAGTCCACGCAGGTGATATCCTCTGACTGAAGGCATTCACTTGCGATGTTTGCACGATGAGGACGGGCGTTGTCATCCATAAACACAAATTGTGCGCCCATGGTGCCCCGAAACAAACGTACATGTTGTTCCAAAATGACATCCCGATACATTTGGCTTGTCATGGTTCCAATTTGAACATGCAGGTCAGTTCTGGAACCCAGAATAAATCCACCCCAACCGAGCACTCCTGCACCACCGTAACAGTGTCATTCAATGATGTTTTCTTGGTGGTAACGGGTACCTGGAGCTCTCCATATGAAAGTCCAGCGAGAATCAGACTGCAAGCTAAACTTGGACTCATCGTGAAACATCACATAAGCCAACTGTTGTGGTGTCCATAATGCATGCTCTCTACTCCAGGCTAACCGCATGTGACAGTGAGTTGCAGTAAGTGGAACGCATCCGACAGGTCTACAAGCATATAGACCAATCTGCTCTAAGCGTCTGTACATGGTCTGCCTTGAAATTGTCGTACCAGTGGCTGAAGAGAGCTGACGAGACAGGTCTGAGGCTGTGCTCCGCCTGTTTCTTTTGGCAGTAACTGCCAAATACCGGTCCTCATTCGGCGTTGTAACTCTGCGGCAACCTGTGCTGTAACGTCTACTCACATTACCATCATCTTGGAATCGTTGCCAAAGCCTTGAGATGACACTCTGGGCAATTCCAAGTTCGTATGATACTTCCAGTTGGGTACGCCCACTTTCTAGACGGCCTATAATTCTACCACGTAAAAAATCATCCAAATGCGTCCTTTGTGTCATAATTATTCGGTTATTGCACTGAAATGCTTACAAAACGCCTGCGAACAATTTTACTTCTTTGCCTGTATTCCTTATATATCACTCTCTTACACTCTCGTCATTGTGACGTACCATCAGTGTCATCTGGTTACTTCCTGAAATTTGCATATGATTCTTGAAGTTGTGTGTAGTGATTTTACAGGTGATATATTTATTTTAGAGTTCAATTTCCGCGTGACTCCGAATTATCCTTAATTTATGGACATGAGTGAAGTTTAAATAACTAAAATTTTTACATATTAAAACACTTTTATATGCTTAAAGACAACAATCAATTTAATAAAAATTACACATCTTGAATGTATTGATATATAAAAAACATTAAGTACGTATATATTTTGTAGACCATATATGATACACTAAAAATTTGAATATTTTGTGAAAAATAAAAACTAAGATTATTCTAATGAATCAAAAGCTTAATTTGATAATTAATACAAATACAGAAACCCAATTAATGAAATGTATATTTTTAAAATTACAAACTGGAAATTTATATACATCAACATACATTTCAATTTAAACATCAAAATAAAAGTGCATTCTTACTGAATTAGACTTTCTTGTACTATCATATCATCCACAAATTGACTCAATTCACCCCGAATAGCCTAATGCAGAGGGAAAAAAAATAACGTACATTTTTCTCTTCGATGAATAAATATAAATAAAAGATGCAAAGTAATTTTTAAAAAATATTTTAATAATTGCTTCTATCTGAAAACAGTTATGAATCATAAGAGCTGAGTCATAATTTTCATATTAAATGGAATTGCTTACTTTCAGCTACATGAAAGAAGTTTACAATGTTTTTCCATCACAGAATTTCATTTTCAATTATTTGACATTTAATTAATAATTTTCAGTAATTTGATGGTCAGTATGATTAATGGCTTTCAATTTCAATTTTTTAAACTGCACACTTACTAATTCAAGTATTCAGTTAATAATTTTCTCAGCTGAGACATCAACATTATATTTTATTAATCTACTTCAGTTGTTGCAATACATAGTTACATTAATTTCAAAACAGTTAAGAAATACTGTCAAATTATTTACTCTAAATATGTACAATAACTTGTCTATATTACTAAAATCTGTGCATGTCTGTCTGTCTGTTTGTTGCATTATCTCTTCTGGAATAGCGAAGAGTTCAGTTTCGAGAGGGTAACCCTAGATTCCAAAACTTCATGGGATTTTATAAAATATAAAAATATTTGGCAATGCTCCAGATTCCAAATATTAGTGAAGCCATTTCAACTAGTCTCATCTTTGTATGAATTTGATCAGCCGAGGTATTAATTTAAAACTCTGAAAAGAATTATCACACTCATTTTCCTGAAAGGCAACAGTCTTGCACATTGGTGATAAAAATGCTTCATTTCGAAAAGCATTGCCACTGCTTGTTTTCAAATCACAGACTTTGTTAATAAAAAATTCATAAGTTTTACAAAATATGAAACAAAAATATCATTGCCAAACATTAAACCTATTATTATTATATAAGGTCATATTCTGACTTTGAAGATGTATGCGATTGCATATGACGTCATTGTATGTCAAAAATTTTTTGCTAGTATCAGCATTGTAAATAACTAGCTTCTGCTGGCAACCTTTGTGTTTTAGATTAGTATGACTGACAAAACATGTTATTGTCATGTTTATTCTTTTATTGATATTGAGAAAATGTTATTATATTACCTTAAATCATGACATCATATGCATTAAGCCTTTGCGGTGCACTATACGTTAATGTCGGAATTTCAACAAAAAAAAGTTGTATGCAGTCTATTTAGTCCTAAAGGAGTATACAGGTAAAATTTTGTAAAAATTGCACTTACCGTTTTAATTCTGTGGGTGTTCCATGAGGTGGAACACTGCGCTGCCAGAAATTTTAAAAGTGCGACTAAGCAAGCATTGCAGTGAAGCACGAAAATGAGTAGAAGTGTTTGTATAAGAATGAAAAAACTCTGTATTATGGCTGTATACATGGTTTCATGTATATACACAATATTCTTGAATACATATGGACAAATGAGATAAATATCTATATACACAAGTTCTATACGCAAAGATATTTACAAATTTTCCTATTTCTTAGCTTCCTGAAATTGTTCAAAGCAAGTCACACCTTTTTGATGGAAGCACAAACCAACTACGGTTAAAATAATTCACTACAATTAATATTAACAATAAAGAAAAATAAGCCTATAATATATACACGAAAAATATCTACACAATTATTAAAAATAAACAGGGATGAAACTAAAAAGCGACAGCAAAAAATTCGTGCAGGTCTAAGCAAAGATGAGTCAAGTTACTAATAAAATTCCTGCCAAAAAATTAGAGATGCCAATATTAAGGCTTTCATAACACAAAACACACCTCACCCCTCAATACTGCTTTGTTTGAATTCATTCTCCCCCAAAACAATGGAAACAGAAAACGTAAACAACGGATGTTCTCTCCTAAGCACAGATGTTCTGATTCGTAACAGCATGAGATCACTAAAAGTGCAGTGTTCCCGCTAATGGTACACCCGGTTTTATTCAATGATTCTGCATATGGTTTTTGTATGAAAGATTAAAAAAATATATAGAACAAATAATTTGAAGTACAGCCAGCAAAATTATGCCTAATTTTTTTCCAAATAAAATTTTTTATATCATTAAAAATATAGAGAAAATTACTTGAAAAAAGTGGATTTTAATAACACATAATAAAGGAAAATTCTGTGTCTCCTTGTGATATGCTGCTACCTAATGTTTAAAAAGAAAAGTTCAAACTATATTATAAAGGCATTTTTATCTATTTACGGTTGAATTTCAGAAGAAGAAGGTTTCAGAAGCAATTCAATTTAGGTGTTCCATGTAGTGGAACACTGAGCCACAAAGGGTTAACCTGAAGTGTCAAAAGTTTTCGTTTCCTGGTTTGGCAATAAAAAAGTTATTTACGAATAGGTTGTTGCTTGGAAAGAATGAACTGATTACATTCATATTGAAATGTTTCTATACATTTGCTTTTCAGGGATACATTGAACTTATAAATTTTGCTTTGGCTGCAGCCCGTTCATCTGGCAGGCTTGCCTGCTAGTAATATGTATAAAGCTTGCAATATGTATAACAGCTTGTAAAAATGTAAATGATTCAATATCTAGAATGATCCAATATCTGGACCTCCAGACCACCGGGAGGGGGGGAGTCACAGTCTTTCAGCCCTTGGGAGGTTGGAGGGGAAGCATTTTTCTAAGACATACTTGTTTGAAGTTGGATGTTCCTTATACTGATTTTCTTTTTTTAGCATAGCAACAGGGAAGCATAAAAGGGTTACATTCCAAGGAACTTAAGTCCACCTAACATATTAAATTTGCTCTTAACTTTCTGACTTCAAGCAGCTTATTATTTTCTTATGTCTATTATTAATTTTATTAAAATAAGTTTCAGTAAATGATATCATCACGGTTTTACTCCCCCCCCAAAAAACTATACATCTGTCGATCAACAAATGGATATTGGAATTTTACATGCACTTAATGAAAATATAAAGCAGCTTTTTAAAATCTGATGCAGAAATAAGACCATCTGAGAATTCTAGAAATTTTCTAATATAAAATCTGATGTGTGCAGCATAGTATGATGATAAGAAGGCATGTCTGCAGATATTTTTTAAAATGGCTAGTAAATTTCTTAACGATAATGAAAGTCGCACATTTGAGGGTTTTGGATATTACAAGTATAAAGCTGAAATTTTACTATTAAAAGAAATATAAGTTGCTAAATGAAGATGAGAAACATGAGATAAGAAATATGAGAAAATTTCTAAATACTGCCATTTTGGCTTCAAGTCACATTTTAATTTTACATTGTGGCGATTCAGAAAGCTAGTTTCATTCTATAAAATACCTGTACCTTAACTATTAATAAAGAATATTTTAAATTTCATAACTTCTATATGTCATCTTATTAGATTTAAACTGATGATCTAAAAATCCATAAATTTCCGAAACCCAGAATCAACAAAATCTCCATAATTTTGGATCTTTTACTGTATTTAGAAGAAAAAAAAGAAAAAAGTGTTTAGTAAAATTTTAAGAAAATATACTCACTTGTCGATTTTTTAGTCTCACATTCATCGATACTGATTGTTGTTGTAAAGTCAATATTTCCTTACTAATACTTCCAAGATCTGACTGAAAAAGCCTCAACATTTGTTCCATTCTCTAATATGGGAAATACACAAATTTTCAGTATGCAATTGAAAAATATGAAAAAGCAGACACAAAGATAATATTCTATATTTTATCAATCTAACTAAAATTTCAGATATTATATAATACAGTGCAATTCAAAGTTCCCAAACTCTAATCTATCAAGTTCATGCCTGTTTTATTTTATTGCTGATTTATTTTATTTTAGGTTTACAATATTAATCATAGAATTATTAAGTTACAAAAGTGAACAAAATATATCCTTTTCACAGTTTTCTTTCCCACTGGAAATGATATAAACCCTAATATTTACAATGATAATTCAAGGACTTCTGAATTGTACAGTACTAAAATAATTCTCTCAATAATGTACACCTAATTTCTGTTCATATATTGTTTTCCTATTAGATTTATATACTTCATACATGAAAACTTAAGTAATACTATTTCATATCTTAAAAAAATACATACATCCACAATAACAACATATTTCTTGCTTTGTTTAGATTGCCAACTAGGATATCACACATTGTTACTTGTTGTTCTGTAGATCATTACACTTTTAGCCAATAAACCTCTGCTCTTACACAAGACTCGTAGCAGCATGTTGTCTCTTCCCACCCCTGGCTCAATGTATTTGGCATTCGGTTCTTCAGCGCACATAAGAATTTCATTGAAGTTTTTTCATTGAACATATTTATCCAAAAAAGTAATACTTATAAATGTTTTCATTGTTACAATACATAATAATAAATATAATCATAATATTTACAATGATAATTCAAAGACTTTTGAAATGTACTGTACTAAAATAATTATCTTAATAACATATATCTTATTTCTGTTGACATATTGTTTTCCCATTACATTTATAATATTTATACATGAAAATTAAAGTGACACTAGTTCATTGAAAACATTCATTGAAAACAGTGTTCATTGAAAACATCATACATTTAAAAAAATACTTTTAAAAGGAACACTTTTATGCAAAAACAATCACTACTTTGAAATCAGCAGTCCAAAATCTAGTTTTTATGCTTTCTGATTTAATAGTTTTCGGTTGTTGATCAATGAACTGTATTTAAAAGAATGTATTAAAGAACTACTATACATAATTTTAAAAATATATATATTATTTAAGATTTAAAAACTTAACAACCTGACATGAAAATAATTAGATTTTCAATTTGCATGTGAAATGAAAAGGACTGAAAGTTGTTAAATTTTAAATTATTCTCTTATGTATTCTAAAAATTAAACTTATATGTGTAGTTTCTTATATATATTATATAATTTATGATTTATAAAAATTTATATAGTTCATTGAAAACATATAATGCAAAATATGTTATAAGCATCGATATAAATTCCAGTTTTGCAATTTATGCTTAGGAGCTACCTACATAAGCAGAAAAAAGCTACTAAAATTTAAGAGTTTCAAATAATACCATTTAAAATTAAAAAAAGAGACAAATTGTGTAACAATAATCAGAAACTGTTTTGTCCCCATAAGCTCCTTTAAAATAGGCAGTGAAGAAAGATTTATTGTAGCAGACACAATAAAATTAATAAAAAAGAGATCTCATTTAATGATTAATATAAAACTATAAAACTTTTTAAATGATAGCATCTTTTGATTTAATGATAACACATAAAAGCCAATAATTTTATGAAAAGTAATGGTATATGCAGGGAATCACAAGGAAAAATCTTCCAAAATAACCGAATCATATCTCTAACAGTGAATAATGAAATGTGTACAAGTTTCAAATAACACTGTATGTAACTTGACAATTTAAAATTAGTATTAACCTGATCAGTACAGTGGTTAGTGCTCCTAGTTAAGTTGCAAATTTTAACTGTGCTAATATATTTAAATTAATTGTATATTTCAGTTTTTTAAGTTTTAATTGAAACTATTTGTTAAATAGTGTAGTGGGAATTTATTTTTGACAGTTAAGGATTCATTACGTTATTATCAGTTCTTAGGTTTCCCATGGCAGGGAGATTTTTTATGAGCATCTGGAAAAAGAAGAGTGGGTAGAAAAGGCATTATTAGTTATGATGGTCAGTGTTGGTTCTTTGTTTTCGACTTTTGTTTGAAAGCTTCAGTTTACAACATGAATTGCACTATCTTACACTTCAGGATGGAGAAAGCCAATGGAAAATTTAGTTACTGGAGAATAACTGGCATTTTTGTTTTGCTTTGCTTTGTGAAACGTCACAAATTAATGGGTTTTTAGAATGTGAAGATGCCAGGAGTTCCTTTCAGCTGCAATTAAAAACACAGGATTAGCTTTCCTTCTTTGTGTTAAGACCTCCTTGTTTTTTGGAAGAACAGGTGTTTCAAATTGTTCACACAGGTGTTTGGAGACTCACTGATGCAGTCAAGATGACAAGCTTTGCTAACAGCAGTTCAAGTTTTTTAGCAGAATGAAAATAAAAAAGAAAAGGAGGAAATTCAATGGGTTGGCCAGGCATAAATTTAATTTTTATCTTCTAGTCTATAATATTTTAATGGGTGTGAATCCAAGATTTCCTCGAAGCTTGTGCAAAGGCAGAAATCAGATTTGTCTGATATTTCAAGGAATAAAAAACAGTAAGGAACTGGTGCCATCTTGACTTGATGTGGCTAATGGAATTATAGAAATATATAATTATAGAAATTTTTGCCTGTACAGGCCACCTGTACAGTAGGCAAACATGTAGAAATGTTTGCCTGTACAGGTGGCCACATTTCCCTGGTGAGGTGCTGGCTAGTGCGGAGATTTGCCTGAAACTCCTTAAGTAAAAGAGGCTGAACGGGGGCCTCCCAGGACATGCCACCTGGGCAGTTGCTCTATGACTCCTGTTTTTTCAAGGGTAAGTGTGTAGAAAAAAACAATCGGCATGGCTCAATCAGCATTTCTGTTCTGTTGTCATTATTAATAAATCAATATTTTGCAGTATTTAAAAGTATAAGAATGTTCAGTGTCCAGATGAATATCTTTAACAACTTAAATTGTGAGTACTTTTAAGAGAATGTTCATGCACTGTCCTGACCAGTTATCCTAGCCATAATGTTTATCAAATCTAGAAATTAATAAATAAGTTGAATTAATTAACCTTGCACGTATTATTATCATTTGGGCTTGTTTATAAAAAAACACAATGCAGGTAATAAGGACAATTATTTAGATGATTAATTGCGATACTTGGAAATTTGAGGGTGCTGAGGAATTAAAATAACTGAATCACTGATTTATTAAGGTGAACTGATCTATTGGTATGTATGGGTATTTCATCCCTGCTGCTCGTATGAGGTTATCATTGCGTATTCAGTTACTTTTTTTATACTTTTGAAGATAGGTATTAATTAAATTGTTTTAAGATCAATCCTCCCAGTTTCAAACACTTTAAGAATATTTTATTTTATTCTTTTTATTTTTGTCTGGAACTGGTGGTAGAGAAAGTAAGTTTAGCTGATATTTTATTTAATATATATATATTATATATATATATATATTTTTTTTGGCACAAGAATATTGTTCACTAAGTTTGGGTTCAACATGGCACTGCAGGAAGGCATGTGTGTTTGCAAATGTATAGTGTCTGTGTAGGATGGGAGACTCAAAATACATGTCATGCTAAAAGTCATCTTAAGTGGTTTGGTGATAGGGGAAGAGGGAAAGACCCTCAGACCCACACCTCTGGGTGCTCTCTGTCAAAACTGGGATGAAGCTTAGCTCATACTGCCATCTGTATGCTGTTCAAGGGCCATGCCAATGACAGACATAATCTCGCACTCATTGCCATGATAAAATTTGTGCATTTTTTTCTGATTGAGACAGGCTAGTAAAATAAGCCATAAGAAAAACAAAAATAAATAAAATTTTTACTGATTTCATTTATTTTGGTATAAAATTTACTTGGACTATTTAGAAAATATTTCAAGAAAACTGCTGAAAAACCAAAAAATAGTCCATATCCCATTTAAAATAATTCACAAGTAATAATAAAAATACTACATTGCTTACCAACAATAGAAGTTAAGAAATTGATTAATAAACTTCTCTTACTTTAAATATTATTTTGATAGAAATGAATAAAAATTTTACATAACCTCTAGTATCTCATCACATGCTGTTATCTGATTATGTAAACTAGCAATATTCTGGCTTTCTTGTATATATAAGATAGTTAAGGAAGTAATTAGAACGTACAAATGAAATATTCATAACAGTATGCTAAATTATTTGAATAAATATCTATATCTCATTGTCAAATAGGGAATTATTATAAACTGTTACAAAAATCTTTATTAACATAGAAATTTAATTTTATAAAAATGTTTTTATAAAACATTTATTATGCTCAGATTTGATAAAAAAAAAGTATCCACACATCCTTGAAAATACTCTGACTAATTAGCATATTGCCAAAGAAGTTTGTATTTACAAATTTTGATGTTTATTATTTGTGGCTATTGGTTCCTCTAAAACAGGGTTTCTTAAAGTGGTGGGTCGCAGGACCTGCAGAAGGGCTCGCCAAACATTTTAGCAGTTTTGATATTTCTTTAACTTATAGTAATAATTTTACAATTACCAAATATTTTTACACAATGTATCTGAAAATAGATAAAGATAAAAGAATACAGACAAAGAAAAAAAACAAAAACTTTTTGATGCATTCTTTTTTATAATACAAACGTTCATTTACCTTGCTTTGCACATGACATTGTCATTTCATCTGTTACTTATTTAAAATTTTCACATTATTCTATGTCTTAAAATTAGAAATTAAACTTAATGACCTAAAACTGATTACAGTACAAGTGAAAAAATTGCCAATTTAACTCGTGTGCGTGCCGTATTTGCACAATACTTATGGGGTCCCACAAAACTTTTGTAAATATTATAGGGTTCTGGGGATCGCAAAAAAAAATCTCAGTTATAAAAAAGGGGCATGACTGAAAATGTTTAAGAAACCCTGCTCTAAAATATACACATGTAACAGCTTATATTGATTCACATCACAAGAAATTTTCTAAGAGATAAGTCTGGATGGTGATGGTTGTTATAGTAACAGAAACTGTATATTTCACATAAGGTTGAGTCACAACAAAATTTTTACTGTGTTTTTATTGAATGTTTGAGAAAGAAAAACAGAATTTACCATAAGTTAATTAACTTTGGCCCATTACATATATTTCTTAATAATTTTATTTTGACTCTTTTGTTTCTGTTGTTACTATATCCTTCTTCTCCTTGATCTTACTGCAAATTGAAGTACAGAAATTGTGCAGGAAAAGTGATTCTTATAGAGAACAGGATATATTTCTAAAACAGCAAAGAATGAACTAGCTATTTAAACTAGCATTGGTCATTCAGTTTCAGAAGATATAACATCTTGTAACAGGTATTTAAATGATTTATGAGACATTGTATCTAATTTAATTCTTAGTTAACAATTGGCTGAACATATAAGACTAGTAAATGCTGGTAGTGCATTCTGATTTTTGCAACCAGTGACTGAATACAGGCCACTATTCCTTAAAAAGTCTTCAGTAAGTGATACTTCTTATGGCCAAGTAGCCTTTGAGATCTTTGCTGTAATAAATAATATAATAAAATCTAATAATAACAATAAATAATACAATAATCTAGAATCTTAAAACTTACCACACACAACCAAATGTATTTATATATATATTTTAATTATCATCCTTTATAAATGCCTATATACTACATATACACTAGATTAGTTATTTTAAGAGCATGAACTTGGCTCTTATACAAATATTTTACTAAGATTTTATATAATACTTGAAATTAAACTGAAAATGGGATGCAAGCAATTCTAACTTAACTCTTTTTCTCCTTTAATGAGTGCAATTTTGAATTTTGGGCTTGTTATTCAGAGTGCTATTCAAAAGCAAATTTGTTTATAATTTTTAAATCAACAGTTTTACTTTCAGAGTAGTTCCTTACATGTTTAACGCTGAAACCTTTAGTTATTATTAAATTATAAGCAAGAAAATCTAAATTATGAAATAATCACAAACATTAAAAATCCACTAAATAGGGAATTGAAACAAATGAAGTTGCTTTGCTTATTTGATTCCAAAAAACAGATGTCATCAAGAATATTTCACTTAAAGCAAAAGTCATAAAAACATATATTGCCCATTCGTCATTAAGAGTGCCAATATGACAAATCTGAATGCATTTCATCAAGCTTCTCTTATGAAAAATAGATGACAACTTATTTCTACAGCAAAAGATGTAAATTTACTGACAAAAATTATTTTTGTAGTATATGACATTTTGCTTTTAACTTCTCACCCACACATAAGACTGTGAGACATCAATCACTACACTTATGATGATTTAAATCTGAGGAGATTCAATAAGTTCTAAACTTAATTACAAAGTATAACTTGAATGATGATGAAAAAGTGATAAAATGTTCTTCAACATTCTTCAAAAGTATAAATAGGAAAGCACATAAAATACATGCTATCTTTTGATTTTTTGGTGGTTGTTAAATGCTGACAACCAGTGGTGCTTGTTAAAATTGAAAACACCAAGCATTGTTTGATGACTGAGTTCTTGAGAAAACAAATTAAAAAAAAGGTGGTGGAAAAGGGAAAAAAAAGGCATAAAAGACTAGCAATATTTAGTTGCAGGAAAGCATCACTTAGATATGATCCCACTTCAGATGACAGTACTGAAATAAAAATGTGCAAGAGAAGTGGCAGTTTCTTAGATTACTATGGAAATGGGCATCCATGCTGGATTAGTAGAAAATATTTATCATGAAACGTTGAGAATGCCATTCCTGCTCCAGATGAATATCCAGGATGGGTATATCAGGAATAATAATAATAATAATAATTTAAAAAAAATAATAAAAAAATAATAAAAAAAAAAAAACACTGGGTCAAACATTCTCAAAAACTGCCCTCCATGACAAACACTGATAATCACAGCTAATGACAGGAGATGAAATACCACTTTGAACCACACTAAAAATGATTTAGAAACACAAAGAATATCCCTGATCTCACAAATTCTGAAACCAGAAATATGCCAGGTAGATTTGGGCACCATTTTCTGCAGATGATGAGGGGCTACTGCTTATTGATTATACGTCACATAACATCACAACAACAGAGGTTTATTATGATAACCTGTTGACTCAACTGTTAATAATTCATAATGGTAAACAAAAGAGCAATCTGGACAATGAAAAGTGTTGTTTTTTGCAAAGCAGGGCTCCAACTCACAAGGCCTAGAATTTGCAGCCTATTCACGAAAAATGTGGATTTCAATTTGTTCCCCTACCTGTAATATTCACCTGATCTGACTCCAAATGACCTTTTTTGTTGTTTCAATAACATGAGCCATATTTGCAAGGTTAAGTGCTAAAGTAAGAATAATGATCTGGAGGATGGCCACTTAGAAATGGTTTGAAGGCCGTAATAAATTTTTTCTTCTTCTGGAATCATGCTGAACAGAACTAAAACTACTACATGCATTAAATTCAAGGAAAGCTAAGTAAAAAACCGATAACGAAATTTTAGATATTTTAATCTTTTACAAATGTATTAACATAAAACTTACTAAAAGAACCCTAGTAAAGAAATTAAAAAAATTATAATGCATTATTAGTTGTAAAAAAATCTAGAAGATGCATTATGACAACATTAATTTTAATAGCTACATATTCCAAGCTAAAATATGCAAATTACTGAAAAAGGATACAATCCTGAATTGATGCATTTTCTACTTCTTTTAATTCTTTTTCTATTTGTCTTGAATACTGCCGTAAATCCATTCCCTGGAAAACCAAGCAATAAATATATCATGTTTCCAATTTTTATGAAGCATATAATTAAAAGAATAATACAAACTACACATAAAACAAGAGCATGCTTCAAAATTCTTATAATATTTATAGAAATCACTTACAAAAAGTATAATATAAAGTTAGGAATTCAAATTAAGAACTTACGAATGCATTTATAAAAAGTACGCAATAAAGTTTATTCTCAGTATGGAAATATTATCTAAAATAAATATTAAATTACAAAATTTACAATTTTGTAAAACGATTATTCCATTCTAGGCAAAATTGTTTAGAGTATTATATTGCCTCATGTTAATTTTTAGTTAAATGTTAAAGCTGGAATTTTTTTCCTTTAAAAGGGCAATTAATATTAAAAAAAACATTAATGGGAGAAACAAAAACTATTAATCACCCTCTGCTTAATACTTCATATATAACTTTTCAAGTGGTTAGTATTTAAAGCATTAAACTCAGATGATTAACGAGTGCCAAACACGTGTTTCGTTCTCCTTGTTATACATATATATATATATATATCTTCTCAGAGTTTTTAAAATTTATTTATTTATTCTGATTCTCCTCGGTGTTCCATCAACGCTGGAAGACTCAGCAGTCCTGTAACTTCTTGCATATCTGTCTTTGGTTTTGCGAGATGCCCAAGTGTCCAGAAGTTTTCTAAAATAGGTTGCCCATTTCACAACAGTGTTGAAGAATTACTGGAGCACTCTCATTGAATAATACAGCACTCTGTTTATCTCAGCTATTTGGCTGTGATTCGGACCTATTTATAATTAAATAAATTTGAACAATGAAACATTCCTTCATAAAGTTTTTACACTGTTATTCTTCTCACTGTAAGAAACTTTCTCAAAAGCTTTCTTGTGTTTTATTTCAAAAAGGGTTAGCAGTTCATCAGTAATAAAGTAATATTAAAAAATGTTTCATTTGCCTGCTCCTCCTATTGTCTATGTTTACATACAGATTTCTTTTTTTCTCTTTTGTATATATGCCATTGAAACAAAAAGCTGAATAAATTTAGATCCATATTTAGTTATGATGAAATTTCTGTGCAGTTGTAATGTGAAACTGAGTTTATTATATGAAGTATTTTCAATCTCTGCATATGTCTGTTACATATGTCCAGTTATATCAGGTGCCACTGTATTAAGTTCATGAATATAGAATTCAAAACAGGAGTCATATGGATTTTTAAGCTACATTTATTAGAGTTCGTAATTCCAGAAGGGATGAATTTTGTAAAAAATTATTGAAACGTAACTTTTGCTTATTACATTGACAATACAACAGTAACTTAAGATATGGTTTCAAAAATGCGTAACAAATTAAATTAACCCTCTGACCAGCAAGGCCATATATATACAATGGCTCAAAAAATGTTTGTACATTTAAAAGTTCATTAATAAAAAGTAATATTTTATAATGAAACTTTTTTAATATTACTCATAAATTTCTCTTAGCAAAACCACATTAATTAATTTATGAATGTATTAAAACTTTTTGGGGGGAATCAATAATAAAAAAGTAACAGAACAGTTACCTCACAAAAATCTCCGTATGCTTTAAAAAAATCTGCACATATAGTAAATACTATAATAGTATTGCTGTCACTTAGTATTTTGTAGTATGTACTGCAGTATTTATGTTTTTAATTTAAGAAACATTCTCTATTCATAAAAATCAAATTAAAGTTAATAAATTTAAATGAAATTTAATTCAAACAAATACGTGATTAATTATTGTTGCAAACTAATTTACAATATCATTTAAATTTTGAGAGCATATGTAAATCATGAGCAAGTATCAAAATCCATTAATAAATATAAAATTCCAAAAATTATTTAATCCTAAAAAATTATTTATAAAAATGCAAAAGTGAATGATTTTTGAGCAGTCAGGAGACAGGCTTATCAAGGAGAAGTTGCCTCCAAACCTAACTCTTCAATCATTCAATTCGTGTTTCATCATCCATGTATAAACATCTGGGCATACAGTTCACCATTTTTTTTTCCATCAATGTTCCTCCATTCTTCCCTCATTACTGTTTTTGGTTTGTTTTTTGTCTTAATGTTGTGTCTTCACACTCTAATTCTCTCCAGATGTGTTCTGTTGAGTTTAAATCTGTTGATTGAGGTGGTGTTTTTAGAACTTGTGGACAGTTATAGACACCCGAAAGGGGAACATTAAGGACGGTGTTCTTAAGAATCGTTATCCTGATAAAAAATAAAGTTGTTTCCAGTATCCAAATTTTGTGTGGATAATTTTAAATTACATTTTTAAATATTTAAATAAAGAGCATGGGTCATTGTGCTATCAATAAATACTAAATTATTTAATCCTGATGCTGACATGCACCCTCAAACAAGAACACCTCCACTGCCATGCCAACCAAGGTCTTGGGATTAAGCTCCTCATTTTTTCCTCCATAAGATGATACACCTGACAGAATCAAAAATGTTAAATTTGCTTTCATCTGCAAATAAGACATGATTCTAATATGCTTCAGCCTTATTTATCATTGATTTTGAGAAGAAAAGCCTAAGCTTTCTATTTTTTGCCCTTCCAAGAAATTTTCTACGAGCAGAGTGCCAATGTAATCCAACTGATCTTAGAACTCGTTGAACAGCTTTAAGTGAAAGTAGAAAATTTTTCAGTAAATTCTGTAGAAGTCTTTAAAACACTCAAACATGGATTTTTCACAGATTTTTCTAACTATAAATCTCTGATCACGTTGGGTCATGTTAAGTCCTTTTTGCAGCACTTCTCACTTTACTTTGGATCTGATTTTCTTCTTTAAAGCATTTTATCACATACTGCACCATAGAATAGGATAAATTTACTAATTTAGCAACACCCCGAATTGAATTTCCATCCATATGATCAAAAATTATGAATTTTTTAATGTTGTTTTTTGTTTTCGTACAACTACAAGCCATCTTTAGAGATTAAATAAAATATAACAAAGTAAGCAAGCAAAAAATAAAGCCAAACAATTTTTTAAATGTCACCAAAATGGGAAAAAAAAAAAAAAAAAAAAAAAAAAAAAAAAAAAAAAAAAAAAAAAAAAAAAAAAAGGGGGGTGGTTCACAATAATTTATTTATGAAATTTTATGAAAATGTTTCCGGAATGTTTCATCAATGCTACCTTACATTTTAAATTTTAGAAAAAGAAAATAAGTCAGTATTAAAAATTAAAAAGTTTGGTTTTATTCAAAGTCACATGGTGATGATATGAAAAATTACTGCACTTTATATTCAAATTTATTTCTGGGTTACAGAGCTTTTTCTGCAAATTCTTCAAAGTGTCAGACACTGTGTGTATATATATTACAGTCTAGTATACTTTTTGAGACTTCCCCCCTCAACCTTTTTGATTTTGAAGTTATCTCATTTTGTAATTTTTACATTAAGTATTTACGCAATAGCTTCTTTAATATTGTTTGTTGTTATTACAAGATGTAACATTTTTAATCAGGAACTACAGTGTCAAATGTACTTTTTAGCATTAGCTTTTTAATATTCCTCTTCTTTTAAATATATATATATACAAATCTTCAAATATGACCAATGAATTAAACCAATACATTAAAAGTGTTTTTGAAATTTGGGCTTTCTAAGAGAAATTACATGCTGGTCAGAGAGTTAAAATTTTGTGGTATGGAATAGTTTACTTTTAAAATTTCAATAGTGTCATAGCATGTTTGATGACAATTTGAGAAAAATGTAAATAAAATGCTGAAGGAACTGAAAGTATTCATAATGCATATAATCACTTAATAGATGAAGTAAGAAAAACTGTACATACAGATTTGAGAGCTTCTTTTATAAAGTCATCTTCTAAATTTTCTTGTATATGAACTATAGAGAAGGAATAAAGTTAAAATTTACACATGATGATTATAAAAAGAATTACATCCTTTTTTTATTAATAAATATTGTGATTTTATACTGTACCATCCACCTCTTCAAAACTAGTTTCGTCATTTTCATATGAATCAGTGCCATATAACAGAGACTCTGCAAATGTTTTTTCTTCTGTTACCTGTACCAAAAATTTAATGAAAAGAAAGAATTATAACAATAATACTTATCCATGATAGTATTCTGCAAATAAAATGAATATAAAGGTGCTGAGGAAACATTCTGAAATAATTAATGTAACTATAGTTAACTTTGCACACAAAATGTCTACTAATACAGAAAAAGCACAAAACAGACAATATCAACACTTGTGAAAAAGTACTTGAACTCTGCATCTGCAATACAGCTGTGTCACCTGTCACAGAAGTTTGCCACTACTGGCTGAAAGGGGGAAGATACTCAGTAGCTGTTGTGCAATCATACTTTTTGAAAACTGTTGAAATGTCAGAGAGAGATTTCCAAAAAGATGATTGGTACAGCATATTCAGCTGAAGCCTAGGTTATGGATACAACAAAAAGGTATGCAAGAAGCATGGTATTAGCCATTGTGACAGTGTGCATGAGAGAAAGCAAAGTGGCATCTTGAAGATTCAGGTGTTAAACACACGTTATGATATGATGCTAATAGTAGCACTGATTCCAGAGGAGAGCAAAGATTGCCATGCATTGTTCACCGTAATCGAAGAACTACAACAGCCAAAAATCACCATTAGCTACAACAGTGTTGACCCTGACATTGTTTCTCAGCACACAACAGACAACCTATGCAGTCGGAGGCCGAAGCTTGTCCATGCATTGATGGCACATCATCGCCACCTGTATCTGCAGTGGGGCAAGAAACACTGGAATTGAACATTCGAGGAATGAAGGAAAGTTGCATGGTTTGACGAATCATCTTTTCTGGTCCATCACATCTATGAACGTGTATTAATACACCATTTCCAAATGAAACTCTGTCTCCTGGATTCACAGATAGACAGAGACAAGCCATTGACAGGGGTATTATACTATGGGCAGTGTTTTCATGGAGCACATTAGGACCCATAATCCCCATAGAACAATCCCCGACGTCTGTGCACTACATGAACATCACTGCAGAACAGGTTCACCCATTCATGACAACAGTATTTCTGCCGAGGAGTTGGTATTTACTAACAGATAATGCACCATGTCATAGGAGTCTAATCGTCAGGAAGTGGTTCGAGGAACATTCCAGCAACTTTTAAGTCATGTCTTGGTCTCAAAATTCACCTGGCATAAATCCAATAGAGCATTTGTGGTCCAATTGGAAAACCAAATCCGTGCAACCACACTATCCCCTTACAATGTGCGGGAATTGCAAGACCAGTTGGTGAGCACTTGGTACCAGATGGGTCAGACTACCTATCAGCACCTTGTGGAGCCAATGCCATGTTGGGTGCTGGCAGTTTTGAAGGCTAAAGGTGGTCCTGCATTTTATGAACTGAGTGGTCATAATGTAATGGCCCTTCGGTGTAAATACAACATGAAAATTATATTTTGGACACGGGTTCAGCCACTCCTGCATTACAACATCACCTTTATATTTTATTCCACTCAGTGCATCCTTTGCCCCAGATGCAAGCATTCACTCAGTGCAGATTTAAACAAGAAGAATCTTCCACACTAATGACATAGTTTCTGCACTTATCAGTCCATTTATACACTTGGATGCAACTATAAAAGCCTGAAGTCATCATATTAAATTCTTAACCAATAATAAATCTAAACAAATTTCATTTGTTCAGGAAATATATATCTTTCTTGCTTTTGTCTGAAGCATTTTTTAAAAGATATCACTGTCTTGCTGAACTGTTTCCGAGATTACATCGTGCATCCAAGATGTGCCAACATCGTCTACTGGTAGCTCAAATTCATTGCCTTGCACACAATAACAGCAATCATACACACAACTTTTGAGATGATTTTTCCATTGTCTCACTAAACAGTCTTTGTATTCATGACATGTTTTTAAAATTTAGGATTGTTTGGTCATTAAAAAAAAAATAATAAACAAGAAAATTAACAAGCAGAAAATATTTCAATAATTCATTCATAACTTTGTTGTGTCCTTTTAATTTTTCTTGCAGTCACTATTCTAAAGTACGGAGAAGGCTTTTATGCACCTTATACCCACAATCTTATTGATTGAGAATTCAGTTATAGATGCAGCCCAACTGACTGCGAGTTCAGTCGTTCAACACTATAGATCTCAACTTATCACTTTTCAAGACATATGGAGAATCAACATCAAGGAATTCTTCAGGTGAAAAAAGAGTAACAGCAAGTTATGGCTATTATGGGATGATAAATTCCCATCTGCTATGTCATGAGAATTAATGTCTTATATCAGCATTCTATGCTGTCACTTCTAAATTGTATGCTTAAGTTTTGATGGAGTTTATAGCATAATTTCACTAAGATTGTTGTTAATGGTTCAATAAAATCTCTCCTCCCCCCTAAAAGCATATTTTACCTTCCAGAAAATGGCCTTAGCAGATATAAGTAGTATATGTTTTACCACCAGTCCCAACTTGGAAAAAAGTTTGATCTTCTATAATTTTCAGAAATGCACATTGTAGATACGTCCGTCATTTTTTTGCATGTCCATTAATAATAATTGTGTTCCTCTCACATGTAATCTTGGCTTATCTGATTGTGCACTAGGGCTACCTGCCAACACTCCTTTACACATACATTACAAAAAGAATAATATAAAATTTTACTGTTCCTTTTTGCATGAACTAATTTTCTTTAATGAAATAAACTCATTTAATGACATTATTAAACACTGAAAAACATGCAAGTGTAAAAAAAAAAAAAAAGGCAGCCAAGTTTCTAAAAGATTCCTAACAATATAACTGCCACAAAAATTATTTTGCTTCCAATGATGGCCTCCAGCCATTTATATGCATTGGTTATCACTAATGCCAGAAGCAGTGGTCTCTTTATTATGGAAACACTGTTATTATGGAGACTAACAAGTAGGCCACCATTGCCTCTTATGAAGGGACCGACAAATTACATCCATGCCTTCTCCAACATTCAAACCCAGGCCCTTTGGTACAGCAATCAGGGCGACTAACCACTTTCCCATCTGGGTAGTGTAACTATGAAATTTAATGCTACTACAGCATACTTTTATCAGTATCTAAAAATATAGCATATATGAAGCAATGAAACATTACACACATTAAATATTTCATAAATCAAATTGCTACCCCAGGCGCGTATAGTGGTTAGCGTCGCTGACTGCTGTGTTGAATGGCCCAGGTTCGAATCCTGGAAAAGGCATCGATGTTTGTAAATGTATAGTGTCCGTGTGGCATGGCAACACCCTAACTATGCGGTGAGCTGAAAGTCCTCTCGGGAGGTTTGGTGGAAGGGAAGAGGTGTTGGAGACCCTCGGACCCGTCTCTCCATCAAAATCAGGGGTAGAACTGAGCAAAATTGCACTGTCACCTGAATGGTTGCTCAGGGCTATTGCCAACGGCAGGTGCAGTGGCGGCTCGTGGCTAAAATTAGTGGGGGTGCTGTTCCAAAAAAATTTAACCTTTAAAACTTGTCTAAAAGGATTGGATTATTTAATTAATGACAAAGCACACGAGGGCTATCTGCCTAAAGGGAGGGATGCCTTCGTGCAGGACTTTCTAAGGGAAACTGGCTCGTATACACGTTACACATGGGGAAAACCACGAAAACGCCCATGCAGCCAACCCTTTCGCGGGATTCGAACCTCGGACCGAACTACCAGTGTTCAGCGTCTTTACTGCTCGGCCGCTGGTGGGCACAATTGTCTAAAAGGAAACAAACATGTATAAAAAGAAAATTTATTTTGATACTTCATGAAATCTTACAAGAAAAAAATTAAACATTTCTTAATTACTTTAACTAAAACTCTTACAGTTCAATCTTTGTCTATTCATTAAAAAATGAAATCCATTCTTCTTGTTTTAATTTGCACGAAAAGATCAATAATTTTCTCCTTGATCTCTGGATGACAACTGAGGAAATTTTTCTTTATTGAAAGCAATGCAAGCGCATTTAGTTTTTTTTGAATTCCTAGAGCTTCTTAGAAAATTTTTCATTCTTTTCAGTGTTGAAAAGCAGCGTTCTGCCTCTGATGTAGTCATGGGAACCCTCAAGAGAATTTTTATCCATTTCATAATTTCACTAAGAACATATCTAGATTATTTTCGAAGATAAATTTCAGTAGCTCAATTAATTTGCAGTATTCATGGATATCAGACCCACAATAGAATACTTTTAGTTCGGTTTCAAGCTTTTATTTGTCATTCATTGGATATACACTTCAGCTGGTCAGTACTATTTCTTCTGTAGAATGTTCATTAATAAAACTAGCGAAGCATTTTCTTGTTTAACAATTTAGCAGCTGCTAATGTGTTTAGTAGAAGAATATTTCTGCATTATATCAATACATAGTATAAAGTCACATATTTCCTTCTTCTATTCTTCTGCCATCAGTGTCTTTCGAAAAATTCTTAACAGTACTTTGAGTTTCTTAATTCTAAAAGCAGTTTTGCACTATGTTACATAGTCAACTTTAAACACACTAATTTCTCTGGATTGCATTGAGTTGTATATTATGTCAACACGAGGAATCTGATAAAAAATCTCTAACCAAAACTTGAAATTATCATCATTTAGATATTGTAAAATTCCTGTTGCTTTTGCAATAGCTTGATCTGCATTTGATGTTGACTGAATTTCAGTAAGGCAATTTTTTAAAAAGTTGCAAATTTTCATGAACTCTGTTTATGGTTCGTATGGTGAAGTTTCACCCTGTGGAGGAATACCACACGCGCGCGGAATAAAAAGAAATCAGTTTCCAACAACAATGCCAGAATTTCGCACTGCAAGAGCAACAGTGCTCTCTCTCTACTTCTGCTGCTGCGCTGTTCTGTGTGCGCATGTCAGAACAGCCAAACACCATGTCGCTGGAACTGTGAAGCGCGCAGCTCCAAACAAGATTTCGTACTTTTCACAAGTAAGGATGGCTACTGACATTAAGCTTAAGGATTATGTTTGTAAAATTATAAGAAAGAATAAAGCTAAAAGGCACACTATTATTAAATATTAAAAAATAATAAGTGGAAATAGGGGGTGCTGCAGTTCCACAGTGCTTATTACGAGCCGCCACTAGGCAGGTGTAATCTAGCACTCCTTGCTACAGGGAATTTCATGGGCTTGAGCTGACTATGCCAGACAAGTGAGCATAGGCAACAACAACAACATAAATCAATTACACAGATTGTAATAAACCAAACAATTTTAAAACCTTTATCTGTATGAACTTTATCTACTTAATTTCCTGCAAATTCTAAATCTGAAAATATACCATGAGTTAAATAATAAACTTTCTTTAAAACATTGATTCAATATTATTATTAAATTAACTAATATAAGTCAACTGTATACAAAATGGAATAAATTTGTGATGCAACCAAATTAAACTTACTTTAAAATTATCTCATTATTCTTTTGCGTTTCAACAACATCAAATAGCAAATGCTGCATTAATGTTTTCAAAAATGTGCTTGAATAAAGTGGTCTGCAAACCATTGCAGATAAGGACCATTTTAATCAGTGAAAACAATTATCGATTTTATATCACACATAATATTTTAAGATTTGTATATGCATATATATAAAGTATACACCTTGGCCATTTATTAAGCATTGTTTATAAATACAAGAATATTACCTGATTATTTTCAGACAGAGAAAATCCCGAAGATTCTTTTTCCATGATTTTTCTTCCTTTCCACTTCTCAACTAAAAAAGAAAATAAAAATAAATTGATACAGTACAATACTTTTTCTTTACGAAATATCTATTATTCTGATTAGAATGTTCTAGACTGTTGTCTTAGTACTATCTGATTGTCTGACTGTCTTTATCTGATTAATAAGTGTCTTAGTACTATTTTATCAGCACCCCTGACAAATGATGTTAGTGAGTATTGGTGAATTTGAGAAAAGAAGGAGAACATTTATTCAACTATCTTTACACTGCATACGCACAGTTCCATGCATAAGTGATAATAAAAGGAAGCATTTTATACGAAACAAGAAATTATCTGACATACAGCCCCAAGTGATTTTCATCTCTTCCCTGAATTGAAGTACTGCCCAGGATGCCAAAGATTCTAAACCAATGAGGAACTCCAAAATAATATTCAGGACTATCTCATATCGGGGGCAGCAACATTCTTTGAAGAGATGAGAAATGCTTGGACTTTTATTGAAAAGTATCCATGTTTGTTCATAAATTTTGATCATAAATTCATTTTGTTCTTTCCTCATCTTTTTTACGGTCCATTGGAGGTTGGAACAAAATTACCACTGTTAAAAATACCTGAAAGGATCATTTAATGTCAAAGATTTTTTTCCTCCAATGGCGGGCCCTCAGTCAACTTCGGCTTGGCCACTACTAAAGTCAGAAGTGGTCACTTTATTATGGAAGAACCTAATAGGTGGGCCAGCTTTGTCTCCTATGAAGGGACAGATGGTTACAACCATGACTTCAGGCTTTGAACCCGGGCCCTTTCGTATTGCAGTCGGCTGCAGTAACCACTATAGTGCTTGGGAAGCACAATTTTCATCAAACTATTAGTAGCGTTATATTAATTTTAGCATAAAATATGCAACATGCACAAAATTTTATATTTTCCAGTCTTATCAAGAAGAAAATCTGAAGTGAAAGAATGAAAGGGGGGAAAACTTTCCCTGAAGCATTTTTGATTCCATTGAAAAAGTCTTTACAAAACAAATGAAAGATTTTGGCAATAACTGCTAAGGTTTGCTCCTCCTCTTTATCGGGAGGTATTACTACTAATACTTTATTAATTTTATAACAACAGTTTTCCATAATCCATGCAGCTGATTACTGATGAAATTAAAGAACATTAAGAGTTGATTCATCTAGGTTAAAATAACATGCCGAATACCGATTATTGGAGAAGTTAAACAACAAGAATCACCGTAATATTTGTAAATTGTACAGCACTAGTTTCGATGGTTTAAATACAGAATCATTGGAACTAGTCAAAATTTACACACATTACACAAATTCTTGTTGCTTCACTTCTCCAATAAGGCAATTCATTACTGAAGTAAGTGATAAAATTATCTCTAACATAATATAAATTGTTTAAATAAATATAAAAACTCAGCTTTAATACTGTTTTACCCAAATGTTGGAACGTATGTATTTAACACAAGCACCTTGGAACAATTTGGCAATTTTTCACAGAAAAGGCAAAAGTTACTTGCAAGTTGGTGTTTTTTTGTGAATTTTTACTAGAAATATTCCCAAACTGTCAATATTTATTGTCAGTAAACACTAACAACATATGAAAAGAATGCATACTTTAGCAATTTAAAATACAAATTTGAATTATTAAATAAGGATTATATAACACATTTAAAAATAAAACATTTACATTCTTCTTAAAATTTTTCTACAATATTTTTACCTATTCTTCTCTTGAAGTACACAGCAATCCGTTTTCATTTTAAAATATTCAGAGAATTGCGGAGACTCAGCTTCTTGCAAACCTTGGCAACAACGGCTATCAAGGAAACACAGTTCCTCATCGTTCCCTTTTAGCAAATTGTCAGCAAAATTCTGTACACCTGCAGAAAACTTATGATGGTTTCTCCCATTGCTGGGAAATTCCACAAGCTCATATTTTGAACTGTATCATGATTTGTTTATAAAAACCAGAACAGCTCTAGTATAGCTCACCTCCAAAATCTGGCAATTTTTTTTTTTTTTTTTTTTCACCAAATATCCTGTTTTGAAAAATGGTTACCATCAAGATTTCTGACGAAATTGCGTGTTTCAAAAATGGTGACCATCTTGTTTTCACCAGAAATCATCGATAATAGAAATAAATTTACAACTATTATACATGATTTTAAAAGGAAAAAAATGTTAAGTAATGATTAATGAAAATGATCAAGATTAAAAGGATGTAATTGTTAAAAACAATGCCGAAACTTTTACATATTTCGCCCTTAACAAATAATTATGTGATTAAGAATTAACTATAAATTAAGCTTAGTAGAGGTGAACCAAGATTTTAGTCTAATTGATTTTTCAGCTCCACACTTTTTGCATTTCCAAATACTACGATTGGATGACATCTTCTGACTAACTAACTCACATGGTATCTTACAACTTGCACAACAAACTCTATCCTTCAATAATCCACAACCCATCAAAAATCCTCTAAAAAGTTCATACTCTCTTGTTAATCCATATATCTGTTTAGAATACCCGGCTTTTCCAAACTTTTACGCTTGTTTGAAAGTTCCCACCTTAAATTTTCCTTTAAGATCTCCTGATACTTAATTACAGTATTACTAACAGTAGGTTTACAGCAAGTCGTAACTAAATGCAAAAATCTCACCTCGAAAGTAGCCAAAAATCTTATCTCCAAAACAATATTCTCCATAATGTCTGATGGTTAAATAACGGCTCATAACAGTGTTACGAAATTTGTATTTAGATAGTTAATTTTAGTAGAATTATTTAGTCCTCTTGCGTGGTTTGATGGAAGGCGAGAGGGGTGGGAGACCCTCGGACCCGTGCCCTCGGGATGCTCTTTATCAAAATTAAAAGGGAAACTGAGTTAAATTGCACTGTCACCTGTAATGTGCTCAAGGCTGTTGACAACAACAGGTGTAATCTCACACTCATTGCCCCGAGGCATTTCATGGGCTTAGGCTGACTATGTCAGACTAGCAAGCATAGACAACAACAACAGTACAATTATAATTAAAATTGCTGTATGCCCTCATGCAATGCAGAGCGAAACAAATTTTAAGAGAAAGCTATGCAGGAAAAGTAAGAATACAGGAACGCGTGCATTTAACTTTGAGTAAATGAATATCTCAGTAATTTGTATTGAAATTGAATAAATGTAATTGACCACTATTAGCTGCAGTTGTTTACATTGCGTTTGCTGAATGGTATGGGTTACCACATCCTATCATTTATCGCTATGCTTGGCAATATTTTTTCGTGAAAAATCTGGGTGGGCTATACTAAAGGATAGCCTAAAAACTATTGGAGCTTTGAATACAACAAAAAAGAACACATATAAAAATGGCACCATTGCTTGACTGAAGTGCTGTTATGAGAATATTTACCAGAAAATTGATTATGCACATGGCTACCAGAGTTTTGGCACATTCTGAAAATTTGGTGACTTCTACTAAGGTTGTTGCGTTAATATGTAAGGAGACAACAAAATGTTTTATCTATTGATTCTCTGAGAGAATTGGCTAATCTCACCACTGGTGTCAATTAATATTATCTTAATTTAATGATAATACTGTCAAAAGTCTTTAATCCGGACTCGTCGAAACTTTGGCGATTCTGGATTATCAGTTTTTCCGGATTAGAGATCGTCAGTTTAAATCTGGTAAGATGGCATGCAGAAATTATAACATTAAAAATATGAAACCGTAATTTATGAAATAAAGAGCAATTATGATCTAAAGAATATCAAAATTTACAAAAAAAAAAGCTTAATATTCATTTGTTTACTTTATTAAACATTTCTTTCAATGCGCGTATGCGTAAAGCATACATTACGCATAGTCGAAATTAGAAAATTGCAACCAGAAAACTATTTGATGTGTATTCGTGATATTTATAATGACGAGGAATTTGATTTAAATCATATCAAACATGGAGTACATTGAGATAAAATACTACATTTATTAAGGAATTATAAGCCGAATGAAATAAAAACATCTGCCCTGAAGATAAGGATAGTGCTGACAGATCAACTTCTAGTTCATTGCGCGCCGCGACGTCCCCCCCCCCCAGAGCAGCATGAAATTGATAAACAGATTTCGGAATGGTTAGAGAAACAAAAGCTATGCCTTTATCTATTTTTTGCAGCAATTCCACTTTTTTTTTTTTGATGGATATCGAAACATGCTTTCGCTTTGTAGATACTTTGCCAGCTCCAGAATCGGAAATTCTTTTTGACATAATCGAAAGTTCAAGCATACTTTTATAAACAAACAACTTTTATAAACAAACTGCTCTAACAGTCTGCAAAATAATAAGCCGGATCCAATTAGAAGATTAAGGAACAACGCAATCTGCAACATTAACTAATTAGATAATTTTAGCTTAGCTCATACCGTTATACATTAATCGCGTATGCGTAAACGCATATGTGCATGCATAAAGGTATTATGCGTTTACGCACGCGCAGAAAGTTTGTAGCTTTGAGGTCTGGCTTATAGATCATTTTAGATTATGGACGTCCAGATTAAAGATTTTTGATTGTATTTACATTTAGCAATTCTTTAACAATACTGCACTAGGAATCCAAAGAATTTCATGATTTGATTTGTATAAAATCAAGAAAAAGAATTTTTTTAAAAATAATCTTATAAAAGTAGAATCAATCCAATTTTAAATCATAGGAATTACAAACAGTAATGAATAATAAAGAGCTTATTGAAACTACACTGAATGAAGTACCATATAATACCAAAAATATCACATAATAATGGTTTAATTACACAGAACTATAATACAAATCACAAACTGAATCAAACTTGAAACTAACCGTTTTTACCCATGAATGCAGTTACTTGCACAATGGTTAAACACATGACTTTAGCATTCAATTTGGTAAATTTAACTATTTTGCATTTGAACATTTTGATAATTAATGCCTTTATTTATAGATATGTCCATACCTATAGTTAAAATGCTGAGGTAAATTTGAGCAGATCATCCTCCAATAAAAGTTAGATGAAACGTAATATGTTAAGATGAGGGTATTTCGGCTAATCTTTGGAATATGGTAACAGGTAGTTTGGCGACATTTTGGTAAGGTGATAAAGGTTACTAACTAGGACTTTAGCAATAATCTGAGAAGTACACAGTTCGAATCAGATTATTTTGTCTCAGAAAAATGAGAGATCATGAGACATGTAATGCGACATTTTCCGGAAAATTCCATTCGGGATTTTAGCTAATAAGCACTTAGAAAACATTTCGCTGCTAAAGTGCAGAATCACCCACTTATTTGTTTGCCGCTTTTTACAAGAGTAAGAAGAATTGAATTTTTGTCAATTTTCTTTGACTTTTTAAGTGAAAATAGGTCGATGTGCACATGGATAAAGTCAAGAGTGTGTGCAATGCCATTTTTGTGCAATTCTGAGATGTTTTTTTTAAGTGAAAATAGGTCGACGTGTACATGGATACCATGTATATGCAATTCTTAAAAAAGCGGCAAGCAGTGGACGATTCTACACTTTCTCCCAATTTCGCACCTGATCTTCGTCATGATTAAGCACTTTTGTTCCACAAAAGTTCTAGCATAAGTGTAATTCGGCTAGCAGATTGTTGGAAAAAATGTTGAGTAAAAAAAAAGGCCTTTACTTCATGAAAACAAAATGGCGTCCAAAAAAAAAAGCGGTTAATCTTCGAATCATGGTAACTTGGCGATTTTCTGGCGACCAACCCTGCTACAGCAACCTGTTAGTTCTTTTTTGGATGCCATTTTGTTTTCACGAAGTAAAGGCATTTCTCCCCCCAACACTTTTTTCCAACAATCTGCTAGCCGAATTACGCATGCTAGAACTTTTATGGAACAAAAGTGCTTATTCATGACTAAGATTAGGTGCAAAATTGGGAGAAAGTGCAGAATCACCCACTGCTTGCCGCGTTTTTAAGAATTGCACATACATGGTATCATCCACGTACACGTCGACCTATTTTCACTTAAAAAAACATCCTAGAATTGCACAAAAATGGCATTCTCACACTCTTGACTTTATTCATGTACACTGCTAAAGTCCTAGCTAGTAACCTTTATCGTCTTACTAAAATGTCGCCAAAGTACCTGTTACCATATTCCAAAGATTAGCCAAAAAAACTAGCAGGTTGCTGTAGCAGGGTTGGTTGCCAAAAAATCCCCAAGTTACCATAATCCAAAGATTCACCGGTATTTCTTCTGCAATGCATACATTTCACTAGTGTTAGTTCTTTCATTCTTATTATGGTCATCTTTAAAAGCTAATTAAAGATCGTAGTCTTTAATATCAACATAATGAAATACCACTTGAAGTCTCTATCATGAACAAAAGATTCATCAATGTATAAATAAAGGTAATTGTTATCAACAATATTTTTGTCACTGATATATCAAAATATAAATCAAGATCACTGCATTCATACTCAGCGTTATCTTGATGAAAATTTAAATTCGAGATCATCACAATTGTGGGCATCAACCATCTGCAAGTCACAATCAAATTTAGTACTTTCTAATTATCTGTACCCCAATCAAAAAGCCAAGGAAAAATATCGATCATGCAGTGCACCGCTCCACCAAAAAGTATTTATATGGCAACTCACAATATTACCAAAAAGGGTTTATGTGCCAATCATGGTATATATATATATATATAGATCATCCTCCCCAAATGGCTTTCCATTTCTCCAGATTATTTTTGCTACAGTGATTGCGAATTATGATTCCTCCTATTGGGATTTAGCATGACACAGAAGTGCATACTGCAGTTTTCATCATCTTCAGCAAAATCTTAGGCTTAGTTTTCTGCATACATAATGCATTATATAGCTCCCTTAAAGTCATCATATGGCTTTTTTTCTTTCTAATTTTTGGATTTTGGCACCGAGTTGTGTGCGATACTGAATTTGTGTAATTTTCTGATGTTTTTTTTTTAAGAAAAAGAAAAACAGCACTTAAAAAACCCATAAATATATGGTTTTTGTATTGAAAGTGAACAATATAAAAAAATAAGTGGAAGTGGATGCATTGTTGATATAGACATAAAGATACCTACACAAACATTTCTCTCTAAAGTTGACAATGAGTTCACAAATGCCCTCCAGAGTTGCCAATAAGTTTGCAACAATTTGGTGATGGTACAGGTAATCAAATTATGTATCTCGAATGCTTTTACTCTATAACTCAATCATATTTCATCACAGTGGCTTTTTTTTTGTGGGAGGGGGGTTATCAAAACAATTTCTAAAGGTATCCTCTTATACATCTCTAGAAATCAATCCAACTGTCAAGCATAAGAATCACAAATACCAAAGAATAATATTAATTTATTGAAACTGTGTTAAATCAAGTTACAAACATATTATAAATTACCAAAAATATCGCACAGGAACACAATTAAATAAATAAAACTACAATACAAATCACAAATCATATAAAACTTAAAATGGTTCTTTATTTATTTGCTTACCGAATATTAAAGTATGAGAGATTATATTTCCAGGTTTAAGAATTTTTAAAAAGAAGTAATGCAACTTGTCAGTTTTTGATTAGTTTCGGATAAACAGCTTATTAGCAATTTTACAACCATTTTACAGGAATTTTACTATCATTAAATTCAACTGTAATCCTTTTAATGTTAGAAAAATTGAAAACGTATGAAACAACACGCAAGCAAAATTAAAACACACTTGGACTCAACCAGTGTTCATATAAACAGATTAGCCAGTCTTTCTGCCCTGGCTCTGCGTGTTAAAACTGAAACATTTAATGAAACGCTCAGAGCGTGCACCAAAAATTGGTTGCTTTGTTTAAAATGTTATAAAAATGTTATTACAAATATCTTAGGTTAGCGTTTTTGATAAAAACGAAAACAGCCTTAATGGCGATCATTTGGTTCCTTTGTTAATGGAGGCGACATTTTATTACGCTGATGGAGGTAAATTTAAATTACTTAAACACTTCGCAAATATGTTTAAATAGATAGGCAGTTATCAAATAACTTAAATTCTAGAATTTGAGCCTGTTTAGTTATATGTGTGAACGGCAAAAGTTGAGATGCATGCAAAAACAGAACTGTGTTAGTGTGCTCGGCAATTTTGACACTGCTTAGGCGAAGGAGCAGGCTCGTGGGAAATTTTAACGGAAATGTGTAGGTGTGAAAACAAAGAGAGAAGACTACAACCTTTTCTGACCACGGCTCTCTGCCGATATAATCCTAACTATGAAACGGAATGTGATAGGGACAAACAAAGTATTATTCTGTATGTTGTAAACTCGGAGCAAAAGTAGGATATGTACAAATGTCCATTTTCGTTTTCCGTATTTAGTGGTATCCTTTCAGAGTTCCACTTCTAGTATTTTCAGGAAAGAAAAATTTACTTGTCCACATAAACTTATTGCACTTCTTGTACAATAAGGTTTAAACAAGTGGGTGGGTGTTTTCCTGTCCACTCAACTTTCATCAAGGTGCTTGTTTCCCAAAAACAGGCATTCATTTACACGTTATGAAACAACAATTTATGAAATAGAAAGAATTTTCTGCTGAAATTGTGGTTTAATATCATAAAAGAAGTGCCAAAGCCCTCTCGTTTAACCGATCCGGCACACTCAGACCAGAATTAAAATTTATCTAAATTACTGAGAAGGCGGGTTCCGGCCCGCGTATTTTTGTTTCCTTCCTAGGAAACGCAATCCGCGACTAAATTTGGAGATTTATCAGGTCTTGGCGAAATTGTGACACGAAGCGCATGCGCAAAAGGAAATAACGCTGTCGGTTTATGTTTCGAATTTGTGATTGCTGCGAGTATGTCAAACGAAGTGGAAAATGAATTTTATAAAATTTTATTTGATGGATATTCCTACGACTTCCAAGTTCGGAGGAAAAGAGGATTTCGACTTTGAGATCAGATGTGATCTTAATAGTGAAGATAGATGGGAGAATTGGGAAATACATTTAAGCTGTTTCCCACGTGCATTGGATTGTATCTTCCAAAAGAAAACAATGCAAATCAGAAACAGCAAAGTTTATTTTTAAGAAAGGTTATGTGTGTCACCATGCAAGACTAAATAAGAAAGAGGCTAGTTTCAGAAATAAAGAATGTTTAGCTGCTTTGCATGTCAGTATTTAAAAAAATCATAAGTACACAAGATGTCGTGATGAGTTTGTAAAAAAAAGAATCTGTGCACTTTGATTAAAGTTTCATTTCGGCATACACATTGATGTGATGTTGCTGAAGCATGGAATTGCTTACACCCAACTGATTCGGTGCAAGAAGTGTTCATCAACTACTTCCGTGCCGGTAAAATAAGAATTAATAATATAATATTTTTATTCTGCTATACATCCACAGAATTCACTGTTAGTAAATACCATCAAAATGGCGACGATAAAGGCAGTCTCATAAACATATATCTGAACATAGAATTGTTCTACCTAATGGGCAATATGTTTATTACTTTTCGTGATATTCAGTACCTCATATTTCGTACAATGTATTTTACTTAAGATATCGGCATTATTTTAATTGCCCTAGTTAAGAAGCTTTGAAGGCATTTTTGCAACAGCTGAAATCACGTTAGATTGCAATTGTTAAGTATATTAATTCCTCCATTGCATTATGGAATAATGAACAAATTTATAGTTTTTATATGTATATTGAAATGACAGCTTCAGAATATAAAATTATTCAGACACGATAGAAGGAAAAATCACTTAACTAATTGATTATTTAATAATAAATTAATTGAATGTTGAAGCTATTAATAGCATATAGTAACTTTTAATTTAGTTAAATTTTAAATATAATTACAGACTCCTCTGATAGTAACATCAAAAACGTCTACGAAATCATTGACCAAGAGTGCACTTGGTTATGTCTGTCATTAGTTTATTATAGGTGACGATATGAATTTGCTCAGCTCTATCTCATTTTGAAAAAATGACCAGGAGATAGATCCAAAGATCATCTACCCCTCTTCCGTTCCCATTAACTCTTGAGGATTTATTGTTCCATGCTATATACCAGGTCTTTATTTCTAAAATTAGAAGTGGCGGAGCCCTATGGAAGACTGTAAGGAAAGAAAGAAAAAAAAAAGAATTAAAATAGCTAATAATTAAACAATAAATTTAAATTAATATTAATTAATTTGATTAAATTAACTAATTTAATTAATTTAATTAAGAAAAATGTAAAGATAAAGAGGAATTTAATAAATTATTAAATTAATTTTCAATAAATAAATAGAAAAAAAAAGTATCGGACCTCGTCCTTATTTGAGGCATTGTCCGGAATTACAATTCCACTTAGATGCTAAGAACAATCTCCGTCTGAGTTTAAGCCCTGATTATACATAAAATGTATTATTCCAAGGTATGACAAGTATCAGTCTTTTTTTGCAGCACACCAAGGAAAAAAGATAAATACTAAAGAGAATACTGAGAATTCTAGAAAGAGTATGAGGGTATAGAAAGAAATTTAACTTAAAAGTGTAGCTTTGAAGATAAAGAGGGAACAGTTCAAGGCTACCTGATCGCGATGCCCTGTCGATATAATTCTAGCCGTCAAGTAGAAATTTTCCCTGATTACTTTACCTGAATACAACGTGAGAATAAATATAAGACTTCTCGGTACAAGTGGCAGCAGTGGTCCCCCCCGTTTGGTTATATCATTCAGAAAGTCTACAGCTCTGCAGAAGGAAGTCACTACCATGGAACGTGCACGACCAGGGTGTCACTTTCCGTTCCTTGAGGAATACAAAATTTACCCGCTGTCATAAAGTCATTGCATATCCTGGAGAATAAGCCTTTGACATATAATTGGGGGCTTTTCTTTCCTCAAAAGTCTCAGCCTCTGTACAAGGCTTGAGTGCGATGGAAAGACAGACTTGCATTCAGAAGTTAAAATCGGACTTTTAAGGCTTTTTTTAATTTTTATGTTTACTATTAAAACAAAATTTCTGTGTTAAAATTGTGGTTCACTTGCATAAAAAAAAGTGCCTGAACCCTTTTATTTAGGGCTCCGGCTGAAATTATAATTTATCTCGAAAACTGAGAAGTACCGGAGCCGGGATCCGGCGCAATTTAAGCTCTGCTATATACACAAATGCCGCAAAGTGAAGAGAAATTTAAATGCCCCCAACCTGCACGCCTTTAATTCTCATTCTAAACTTTTCAAAATAAATACAGATTTATCATGTGAGTACAGTGCATCAAAACAAAAATATATGTGGTACTCAATTTTTTTTTGTTCATTCTTGAAAAATCTTTTATATGACCTCAATAATTTGAAAGAAAAAATGAAATTATATCTGAACAATGGCAAATTCTGTATTTTTAGTAGAAAGCCCACTCAATCCCTAAATATTAAAAATAAATATTTAGGCTTAATAAATATTCTTAATATTTGGAAATTCATTATTCCCGAATTATATGACTATAATAACTGAATCCTTTATGCTTTTACAGAACTTTGCTTTTTACAAAGAGACAATTTAAGACTTTTACAAAGGTCTTAAATTTACTCTCAGAAAGAACTAAGGGAAAATGAAATCATGAATGATTGTTTCCATTATGTATTAAGAAATCTGATTTTAATTCAAATTTGAAAATTGTTCTGTAATTATATCAGCTCGACACTATGAATTAAAATAATTGCCATAATTTTCAAACTTTAAATTTCAAGATAGTTATTTCTTGTAAGTGCGTAGTGCATATTAATAGCACATAGCCTAAAATAGCAACAATATGCCAAACTTATGGTGCATATAATCCTTGCTGTATAATAATAGGGAAAAAAATATTAAAACAAGTCTTAAAATATTTTCATGCTTTTAAAATGAGATTTCTTGTAAGAAAGGCAGCATATTTCTTGCTTTTAATATTTCTTGTAAGAAAGAGCATATTTTCAGGCTTTTAAAATAGCTTGTAAGAAAGGTACATAAAATTGTCATTTTGTCGTTATAATTAATATCTAAACACTACAATTGTCAAATTACTTAGCTGACACATTAGAAATAATTTTTCTCTTGCAGTAAATGCTTCTATATTGTAAATCTTATGTCGATTAAGAATTCTCTTAACCTGTTCAATGTCCATACGATTGCCATTAACTCCAATTTGTTGGCATGATAAATGCTTCTATATATATTTTTAGCAATTTTCATAAAAATTAAAATTTGTAAGAAATAATTTCCAACATTTAGGATTGTGCACTGTTGTGGTTTAAATGAGAAATCAACTAGGATTTGATAAAATAACATTTATTAACAGACTTCAGAAACAAGCATGAGACATACCTAGATATAAAATAGTTTGAAAAATGTCCGCATATATTTGTTCCAATCAACAACAGTACTGCATATTACAAAACTCAACTGAGGTCAGTCCATGGTACCAATTGTACATAAATTTTACAGCTCTAAGGAAATTTAGATGCGATTCTTCAAACCAAGTGCGAGATCTGAGACGTTTTTCTGGGCAAGGTCTAAGATTGAAACATTATTTTGGCGTATCGTAATTGGTAAAACACACCATTTCAGGATTATTTTTACAAAATCTTCAGCTATGAGAAATCCCTCTCTTCTGTAGTAATTTCAGTGCTTCCTCCTCATTTTTAGGTAAATCCCAGGGAACTTTGCTGTTGAACAAGAATTTCTATCTATAGAATTGAACAGAAAGTGTTAGCACAAAAAATTAAAAACGTTACATTGAAATCAA